GGGGAGTGGCTATCTAATTATCTATATTCAACCTTCCTTATAAGAAATTATTCTGCTCAAGAATTGATGTTATAAAATTATTTAGCAGAGGTCAGGGCCGAATGAGAAAGGATTGTGACTCCCGGCTAATTTAGCCTATTGTAAAACGAGGGGCACCCATGAAATCAGGAACCAAGGATTGGGCAAAACGTCAACCCATTTGAATGTTGACGCTAAATCGTTGAAAAGAAAACCGAAGTCGAATATCGACCCACCCTGGCTCTGTGTGCTTTTGTGTGAGCCTGTCTATTGGTGGTAGGGTCTTCGTAAATAATATCTTTCCATTATTTCAAAGTTTAGTGTTGAAGTCTTAAAGATAGCACAAATGACTTTACTTTCGCTGAGAGCCATGCTACAAGTAAACAGAAGGAAATATTACAATAACAAAGTTATAAGAAAGCATTTCTGCACTAATATTTTAAAATGCGAGAGTTCAATGACAGTGAGATAATAAAAACATTCGTGACTTGTGGTCGTTCTTGTCGATAAGAGTAGTTGAATTTTGTTGGCTGTGACGTGATATTGTATGTCAATGCCAACCTATTGTGATGGATCCCACAAATTTTAATAACATTAACGATTATACGGGCTAAGGGATGATTCATGAATGCAGAATATTAAATAGATTTCTGTTCTGATCTGTTTCTCTTAACTATTTTCAGAACTTTGAATAAGCAAAAAAAATAAAAGCTTGCTTTGATTTTTCATTGTTTCGCACTTCCGTGTCAGCCTGAGCGGGCTTTATATAAACGATGATATGGTGGGGGAATGATACCTTGCAGCGCAATGGAGAAGGAAACCAAGCCAGCCGCTATCCACAATCCTCCAATATTGATGAGTGAGGGATTAGTTAAGGTGTGTTCAAATTTGTCTTCACCATTTTTTCATTGGCTTCATGCTCATTACGTATTTTGAGCTTATTCACTTCATTATTCTTCACCTTCTGATCGAGTATGGTGTGACAGTACATTCTGGAGAGCGGTGTTTACCCGCGCGAATCAGAGCCTCTAAGAGAGTTGAGGAATGCTACTGAAAACCACCCTCTGTAATTCCCCCCCCCCTCCTTTTCTTCTTCCTTTTCATCCTTTATCTATCACTTCGATTTCATCGAATTTCAATCCTATTTTTTTAGGAACTTTCTGGCCTCTTCCCCGGATGCGGGTCAGCTCATGGCATTGCTCTTGAAGCTCCTGAATCCGAAAAAGACAATTGAAGTTGGAGTTTTCACTGGCTACTCCCTTCTCCTCACTGCGCTTAACATTCCTGATGATGGAAAGGTCTATTTCATGTCAAGTCCATTATGTAATTGTCCTTTCCTGTGCCTGAAAATCGATTAATTGCAGATTATAGCGTTGGATCCAGACAGAAATTCTTACGAAATTGGGCTTCCGTTCATCAAGAAGGCCGGCGTGGAGCACAAGATTCAGTTCTTGCAATCACCAGCTCTGCCAGTTCTGGATAAACTCTTAAAAGATGTAAGCACACTCTGTTCTCTAATCTCGCACATAACTTCCAATTTAATTATGTGGAAGAGAAAAACTGATCTGGTTGTGGAATGATGGGATGCAGCCGGCAAACGATGGAAGCTTTGACTTCGCGTTCGTGGATGCGGACAAGAACAACTACTGGAATTACCATGAGAGGCTGATGAAATTGGTGAGGATCGGAGGGATAATCGCGTACGATGACACACTTTGGGGTGGAATGGTAGCGATGGCGGAAGAGGAAGTTCCAGAGGACAAAAGGGAATGGAGGAAGCAAGCAATTGCCTTCAACAAAGCGATCGCGGCTGATTCTCGTGTGGAGCTCACGCTCGCCTCCGTCGGCGATGGCCTCACCATCTGCAGGCGCCTTCTCTGATTTTAAATTTTCGTGCCAATCTCTTTGGGATTACCAGTAACCTTCCTACGCACTTTCGGTAGTAAATGGGGATAGTTGGAGCTAGAGCCCAAAATAATGTATAGCAATAAATTGAATATTTCATGTTCACATGATCCTACCGTATATATGTGCTTGTGTATTTATAAAAGCCATGTAAAATATATAAGATCATTTTGTGTTAAATTACTCATAATGTTTGTTACCGGGGTCATTTTAATGATCGCTCCGTATCATTTAGTACTTTGTTTGAATACCTGCATATAAACATTATGAGTTGAGATTTATTTAGAGGCTTGAACTTGATCTGCCAGGATGCCATAATTTTTATCACATGGATCCTTGTGATTTATGAGGATTGCTAATAAGGATAATGACAATATGTCTCGGCTTTGCTAAATAGTATAATAACTAAATTTTAGGGGCCTGCTTTTGCATTTTAACTTAAACTCCGTTTGCTGCTTGTAGTAAGTACCCTTGTATATATGCTAAGCATAAACTTCTTTAGCAAATTTTTTTGAATGCCTACTTTTTTTTTTGTTGACATTTTGAATGCACACTCACAGGAGTTGTTGGTCACTATATCATTTGATCCTTGGTATAAATAGTGGTTTACAAATGGGGTGAATTGAAATTGATTCGGATTCTTGAACACGTAAAGCTGTCATGATTTTGTTAAATGCATCGCTTGAGATCTATAAAAGTTGCATGTGTAGTTGGTTTGATAATTGCTGTATTTTAATTTAAAATAGCTAGGTTTCATGACTTTGGTATTTGAATTTGTATCTCTAATTTAATTCTACCATATATACTCAATGGAATTTGTATCACTTCACGCTTAATCTAAATGTGCAAAATGCTTGTGGGGAGCTTTACTTTTGATGTTTAGCGTTATCCATGCTTTTGTAGCTTTCTTACATGTTTGTTAGATATTATTCTATTTGGTCAATTCCTCTTGTGAGAATAGTTGCAAATTTTATTACCATTTTATACATATTGGGATCTATCATAATACCATATGTGGCTTACTGGAAGCTTATTATAATTAAAAGAAATTTAATCTTTTGGTCCTTTAATTTTTAAGTCCATTAATTATGACTTGGTACATGGTATTTAAATTTTTGACTTACTTATGATCTACTCTCTTATTTTTGTCATTGTGAATAAAGCAGCAGGCATGCTGGTGAAAAAGGAGCCAAACATCGCCGAAGGAGCTGTGTTGCTCCATCTGATTTTCTGGAGTCTTATAAAGTTGAATAGTATGTAATTTTAGGGGATGTCTATGTTGGGCACAAAAGGAAGGAAAAAAAAAAGTTTGATGCCAACCACAGCTTGAACCAACAAAGAAAAAAGATCATCAACAACCCATTAAAGTCATGATACTACTCATCCTGTCCTTAATATAGGACCCAATTTTTGAGTTAGTTTTAGTCCTAAATATAAGACTAATTTATCATATTTATCAATTTTCTCTAAATTACCCCTATAGATACTTCCTCAACCATAATCAAGTAGAAGAGGAAGATAGGGTATTAAGAAAGATGATTATGGTGTTTTAGAAAAATGTGTCACTTTTCTTATAATCAACTAACTTACCTAACTTCCTTAATCTAATCAAATTAGTTAAATGGATCTTATATTAAGAATCAGATAAGTATTAAATTTGTTCAAAAGGAAAAAAATCATACTACCTCTGACTTTTAATATAAGAATTAGTTTGGCTTTTAATTTGGCCATAAATATAAAATTCCAGTCCACTTTATCTTTCATATTTATCTATTTTTTTCTAAAGGTGATCCTTGAAATAATGATAGTTCTAACTAATAAATTTGATTAGTAACGATATTTTAGAAAAAATGACACATATTTATTATAAATAACCAACTTAATAAATTTTATTAATATATTTAAATTAATTAACTAATTTTTTTTGGGTGAAATAATTAACTAACTTTTATATTTATGTCATTCCACCTACAGTGTTGTTTGACTTGAGTTGCGGCGGCTCCCATTAGATTTTTTTTTTGATAATGCGGCTCCCATTAGATTTAACTTGCATTATTTTTGTTTTCGCTATGACTATCCTACTGCCGCCCTTGCGTCGTCAAAAATAAGGAAACGTTTGATGAAAATCAAATTATAAATTTAGAAGTAATTTTACAAAGTTCAAGATAAATATACAAGAAACAAATTTATCTCCATTTATGCAAAAATATTATTTTTAAAGTGTTATTAAGAGCTTCTAAACACCTCCTAAGTAAAACATATTTTGACTGTGCATAAGTAGTAAACTGGAACAGAGGAAAATATAACAAAACATTCTGAAAAATAATTTTTAAATTTAAAATATTTGAAATTACGGCAATACTATTAAATTACGTAAATAGCTATAACTTTAGTCTATTCTAAAATTTTATTAAAAGGGGACAATATATAAACTAATTTAAAAATTTGTCAGATGTAAAGAATTAATTCGCCAATATATTCTTTAATTTTTTATAACATAAAGAATATTTTTTAAAATGAAAAATTAGCTAAAAGTTCCTCTTTAACGAATTAATTGGGAAATGGGAGCTGTAATAAATGTAAAGGTGTGAACCCTTTAAATGTCAGTAAATGTGATAGGAAAAAAACCATATTGTTCTAATGGATGCTAATTGCATATAACAAATCCTTATTTACATATCAAGGATTCTAATTACATATGGTAGATACTTAGTTGCATGTGGGATCTTATGGCATATTATGAATCCTAATTGCACATCGTTGGTCTCATATGCAATTCGGCATTCTCAATATGCAATTAGAACAACGCATGTGTAATTATGGATCAATAATATGCAATTAGGATTTGTGATAAGCAATAAAGTCTCATATGTAATTAGAATCACCAATATACAATTTTGGATTAATACATTTAATTAGGATCTGTGATATGTGATGAAATATCATATGCAACTAGATATTTATAATATGCAATTAGAATTAATAATATGCAAATTTGATCAATGATATGTAATTAGGATCCGTAATATACAATGATATCCCATATGTAACTAGGCATCCACCATATGTAATTAGGACATGTGATATACAAGTGAGGATCCATCATATGCAATTAGTATCCATCAAGGCAATAAGATCTTTTGCTTATCATGCTTACTGACATTTGAAGGATTCACACTTTTACATTTATTACATGTACCATTTCCCAATCAATTTATCAAAGAGAGACTTTTAACCAATTTTACTAATCCATGCATTATTTAAATGAATCTTTGATACTTGTTGTATTATAGTATTATAAAAAAAAGTTTTATTTTAATATATAACAGTTTCATATGATTTAGACTGTCATAAACAAAAACGTTTGGCCCAAAAAAAAAGGCTGTCAAAAACAAAAACATAGTTTTAATCAGGGTTCATACCTTAAACTTCAAATAAGTGAATAGCTAAGCGGAATAATGAACCAAACATCCAAAAGCACTCGATCAAGACAAAAGAACAGACTGATTTGTTTATTTATTTATTTTTTCCCGACTCACCTATCCTAACCCTCTTCACAGGAGGGACACCCACCCACCCACACACCCAAGCACAACACACACACTCTTCCCGCAAGCCACATGGGGATTCAATGTCATTTGAGCCAAAGCTCATCGGCAAGAACAGACTGATTGCGCTTACGTCCAGGCCGATATTCATCTTCATTCTGAAATTTTTGTATATTACAAGAACCTTGAAGTCTCTACGGACACGTCCAAATCTATTAATTTCTGACTTTCAAGATCTCCCTACTGCTTCCTCTTCTGAAATGAAAGGCCTTGCGCCTTGCCCACTCTTGACTTGCAGATTTACGCGTAGCCTGATACATGTTCTCGACCTCGACCATCACCAAAACCTATAATACATTGTTAACTTTGTGAATTAACTCATGACCAGTACCTATTGCTGTGACCTCAACTGTCCTACGGGATTTCCCTGAAGTTGCGTCTAGGAATCGCTTTTCTGAATTTCCTTCTAACACACCGGATACTCAGTAACGGACGTCGTAACGATGGACCTCAGTTCACCCACTGTTGTAGATTCGAGGCTTCTCTCCAGTGTGGATTGCGATTTTTTTTTTTTTTGGCCATTAGGTGTGGATTGCTAATTAATTTCTTCTCCAGTGCGGACTACTAGGTTTCTCTTTGGTGGGGTTTATGACTTCACATGTTGGATTCTTTTTCCCACTTTTGGTAACAGCAAAACGTTACTCTCTTGGTCGCAGTTTATGTGTTAGCTCCTTGGGGATGGTTTTGGACTTTGCGCTTCCTCACTGCACCGTCTACCCCAGAAAGACATTCCACAAGGACTGCCTGAGTGCCAAGTAAGTGTCCAGTATCTCATCTCCAACCCAAAGCCAAGGCTAGAGTGTTGAAACAACATTATATCTCAAAGAACCTGAACCATTTAGGGACGCATATGCAAGACTTACCTGGACTTATCTTTGCGCACAAATGTACAACATAGCACAATGCCCTATGATTTAACTAGGACGTACAACTCTATTATCGTCCAGATCATTCTGGACAAAAGCAGATTTTCCTTCCCGATATAATCATCATAGTTTGCGAGATAACAATTTGGTCTTATACTTCTATTCCATCAGCATACAGGAAAAAACCATCAGCTAGAGAAGACAGCATGAGAAGATTCTAATATACATCCCATTCATCAAGCATGAAATGAGAACTGATACAAAATTCATGCGGGACAAAGTAAGAACAAGTTATTAGACAACAAAACCAGATTGGATGATGATGGACAAACATTTCCCCACCCGTTTCATTCAATAAGAACAAGTCAATACCAATTATAGCTCATGCCAAATTAACATCGCAATGATTGATTCTAGTGAAAGTAACCAAGAACTTGACCACCAACATTCCGCTTAATGGCCTCCTCATGATCCAAAACGCCTTCAGGAGTTGTAATCACAACATAACCCCACTGCACAGAGGGAGAAGGACAACATCATTATGACCCTTTTGCCTTTCTTTCAGTTCACAAGGAGAAATAAAGAGCATTTCAGACAAACTACAGTCTTCATATTGAAGCCTCCATCAATTATAAACAACTGCTCAGAACACTAAACGTTAAATAAAGTGGGAAGCTTCTACAAACCTGATGTGTTGGAAGAGTTTTCAATCTGTATTTTTCAATGTCTATTGCCTTGATATCTTGTCGGAATGTAAGAGCTCTGCAATCCTTAATCCTGCCTTGAAGTTCAACTGTTATCCTCCCCACTCTATGAGGATCAAAGACTTCAAAGTCCTTGATATAGCCTATCACGAATTACTTCAAATTTTTTATATTGAAATTCACAAGACGAATAGAAGACGCTACAATGTTAAAAGTTCTAACTCAGAAACTCAACGGTCTTGAATCTCAATAATAATAGTAGTAGTAGTAGTAGTAACTCAACGATCTTGAATCTCAATAATAATAATAATAGTAGTAGTAGTAGCAGCAGCAGCAGCAGCAGTAATAGTAATAATAGTAGGAGTAGTAATAGTTCAAGATGCGGCAACAGATTATCAGTTCAACCGTCAAGTAAGAATAACAGGATGAAAAACCACCTTCTTAATAGCAAATTATAAACGACCCAAAACATAGTGAGTAAGGGTAGCTCAAATTAATCGCCAATGAATTACAAAGGGGATTCAACGTTGTGCTTCAGGTATACAAAGAAATCAACAGGACACAAGATTTTTCCATTCATTTACTAATTAATTCCAGGGTGAATAACAAGAAATTCATAGGAAAAGATTTCATTTTTTCCTTTTTCATAAAAAAATGATTGACCTAATCAGAGAATCTAGTTCCTTAAATTGAACCCTTAGCATATCATTGAAACTTTACCTCGGTCTTTCATGATCCTGAGAAAGGAGGATATGACGGTGGAGATGGGCTTCAACTGCACGGAAGCTTTCCCCCTCCTCTCTGCATTCACCATAGTTCTTAGAGCGTCATTCAGAATTCTCCTCCCCATCTCCAATCCTCTCCCTCGTATTCCGCCTAACCAAGAATACAGTCCAGTGTTGATGGCGAATCCAAGGTCGACCCGCCGGTAAAGAAGGGTTTTGCTGAACTGATATTTTCGAACTAGTAATAATAATTAAAATATTGGGCCATCGGGCTTTTGTAAATGAAGCCCAAGCTCCTCCTTTTTGGGGCTGTTTACTGCCTCCCTTTTCTTTTTTGGTGAACGCTTTTTATTGCATTTCCTTTGAGAGGGGAAAATGACCCCAAAAAAAGGAGACAATTACAATAAGATCCTTAAAAAAATAAAATAATTCCAAAACAAATCTCAAAAACTGTCATTCTCTATTCTGAAACTTGTCCTTACAAGCTATTTAAGTTGTTATTGAGAATTTTAATACCCCTATTTTTTAAAAAATAAAAAATAAACCCCTCGACAAAGACTATGTTGGATAGGTGACCATTAGGTCACCAATAATTTTTTAACATTATAATGCAATATATATATATATATATATATATAAGTTAACTCATTTGCTCTGATTGCAACTCATGACAACAATTTATTTGGAAATGATAAGTTTTAATTAGAAAATAACAAATCTAAACTTGAGATTAACAAGGTATTTTTTCTTATATGTAACACAAAATAACATATAAATTAATTAAAAATGACAACAATTTATCTGGGAATAACAAGTTTTGATTAGAATATGATAAGTTTAAACTTAAGATTAACAATACATTTTTTTTTTATACATAATGTGAAACAATGTGTGAATTAATTAAAAATGACAACAATTTATATGGAAATGACAAGTCTTATTTATAAAATGACAAATCTAAACTTAAGAATAACAAAACATTTTTTCCTGATAAATATCGTGAAATAACACGTGAATTAATTAAAAATGATATTGTTAATTCCAAATTTAGACTTGTCATTTCTCAATCAAGACTTATCATTTTCATATAAATTGTTGCCCGTTTTTATTAATTCATATGTTAATTCACATTATATGTAAGAAAAAACACCTTGTTAATATCAAGTTTTGACTTGTTATTTCTAGATAAATTGTTGTTATAAGCTGAAACTAGAATAAAGAAGTTAGCTTATGATTTTTTTTCCCATATTGGTGGCCTAATGATTATTTTTTTTATTAGCCCAAATGACTATGGAGTGGTGGGATTAAATTCCACCCCAACCACTTCCCTTAAATAGTTTCTCATGACTAAAAATTTTTTTTGTCACAAATAAAAAAACTCTGTTGGTAGCCACCATGGGGGAATGAAATTTTGATTATTAATAGAGCACAATGATATCGTACGATTCATATAGCTAATCTCACATAGTAAAATAAGACTTATTATTGTTGTTTAAATTTCAATTTAGATTTACTTTTCATTCTTGTTATTTTCAACCCTTAGACAATTTCATGTTTTTTTAAGGGTTAATTAATCCGCAAGTTCTTGTAGTTTTAACCAATCTTGAATTAGGTCCTTATAGTTTTTTTTTCTTTTTATCAGGTCCTTATACTTTTATTTGTTTTTAATTAAGTCCTCACATTTATTTTTCTTTTTATTAAGTCCTTATAATTTCACTAAATTTTTAATTAGGTCCATCTAGTTTTAATTTTTATTTATTAATTAAATAAATTAATACTGAAATATAAAATATTAATAATTAAATTAAATTAATAATTATATAATAAAAGATAAGTAATATAATTAATTAATTCAGGAAAATTTTCTAGAACAATTAATTTTTTTTGCAAAAAAATTATTACAATAATTTATTATTTTTAGAATATTATTGTTTATAAACTAATATTAAAGAATAAATACTATTTTATGTTTATAGAGTAGTACTATTATAATTTATAAAATAAAGAATAAAAAATTTAGGGACTTAATTAAAAATAAGGTGAACTTATAAGGACTTGATAAAAAAAAAATAAATGCAAGGATTTAATTAAAAACAGGTAAAAGTATAAGAACCTGATAAAAAAAATTATAAAGACCTAATTCAAAATTAATTGAAACTATAAGGACTTTCAGATTAATTATCCCATTTTTTTAATTGTCATTTTCCCTTAAGAGAATAGGTGAACACGACCACTCCTTTTTTTTTTTTTTTTTAATTGCGTATACCAAAAAGAAGAAAAGGACCAAACAGCCCCACCTGCTTGAGGGAGAATCCGAATTCCCACCACCAAGATGTATAGCAATAGACATGATGCATCTAGCTGCCTGACATGAGACGCTGCTCAAAGTTTCGACTGGAAAAAGGCAGAGAAGACAAATAAGAAAAAGAAAGAAGGCACGGAAACAAAAAGCAGCGTGGGGTGTCACCGTCCAAGGAGGTGCTTCTTCGGCCGAGACGAATGGATTTACTTCCGGCAGAGATGAGGCCGATCTCGAAGAAGCAAGGATTTCGGTCGCTGAAGCTGGTGAATGTGGACCTGGACCAGGTTCTTGCAGAGCAACCCGTTGGCGTGGACTATGGTAGACTTGACAATGGACTACACTACTATGTTCGACGCAATTCCAAGCCTCGAATGAGAGCTGCTCTTGCACTTGCAGTCAAAGCTGGGTAAGTTCCTTTTTTCCTCTAACTGTTTCGTTCATTCAATGCTAATTACTAGTTGGTGCTTATATTTAATAATTCTTTAGGCTGCTATTTGATCCACCCTAGAAATCCTGGATTATTTTGCTGTTTGGGGAATTAAAAATGCATTTATGTGCGGCAACAGAGGCTTTGGGATTGAAAGCCATAACTTAGCATGGTAAACTAGAAATTCTTTGAATTTAAGGAAAACCTGGAGGTCCTGTACAATCTGGCTGGGGATTGAACGGTATTTCTGTTGATATCTTGATGAATGTGGATGGAATTCGGAATGGTGGAGTGAAGACTATATATGATGTTGATATGAAGGAAATGAATTTTCTATTAGCCCATTGGTCATGTGGGAAAGCATTTGCTTTCTTCGATCTTATGCGAGTTTGAAAATTCTCCAACTATGAAATTATGAAAATTTAACTGATTATCATTTTATATCTTCACTGATTATTCTTGCTTGTGACTTGGCTACATTTCCTAGAGAGGGGAGGGCTGCTAACTGTAAAAGTCATGATCAATAACGATAGGCTTTTAACCATATATCATAAAAGAATTCAACAATTGGACAAAACAAATACACGCTTTGTCAACTTTTATACGTCTGAATGTCCCTCAGCTTTCAAAATTGAAAATCAGCCTCCTGGATTTTTATTCTTCATCATTGAAAACCTCACTGCTACTCATGAATTCTTTGAACATTGAAATTGACGATATATTCTCATTTTTTTAGCAGCTAACTTATGAATTCTTGTAACATCTGAATTGTTCTGGTGAATTAATCATCTCTATGATGCATTACTTAGCCATTTGAATTATTGAACAAACTTTAGAAATTTTTTATGTATTCTGATTGCAAGTTAGCGGACATACCAATTCATGGCAGGTCAGTTCTGGAAGAAGAAGATGAACGTGGTGTTGCTCACATTGTTGAGCATCTTGCATTCAGTGCCACAAAGAGATATACAAATCATGACATTGTTAAATTTCTTGAAAGTATTGGGGCAGAGTTTGGAGCTTGTCAAAACGCTGTAACATCTTCTGATGACACAGTTTATGAGCTCTTTGTTCCGGTTGACAAGCCTGAACTATTGTCTCAAGCCATTTCAGTTTTGGCAGAATTCAGTTCAGAGGTAGTGAGGAAGCAGAATTCAATATTGCTGGAACTAATTGGTTCTTTATTGAGTATATGACTGGATTGTTCTGTTCAGATTCGAGTTTCAAAAGATGACTTGGAGAAAGAAAGAGGAGCAGTGATGGAAGAATACAGGGGCAACAGGAATGCAACAGGAAGGCTGCAGGATGCACATTGGAGCTTGTTGATGGAAGGCTCAAAGGTACTTGTATCTGTTACAAGCTATTTCACAATTTTCTTACATGTAACAATGATTCATTAGTTACTGCTTTTTGGGCATAATCTTTTAGATGTGATTCTTGTTCTTAAACATCTTACACTTAATTTCTTTGCTTTTTAGACATATTTGTTTGTTCGAATTAGTAGCCTTCTCTTCTCAATTTTAGCAGGAACACTTATTTTAAGACAAGCCTTTGTTAATTTTTTGAGATCAAAGGAAGCATTTTTTCACTGTTGAAATGATTTTTTAGATAAGAGATGACTGTTAAAAAATCTACATATCTAGTAAATTTATAGGAGGTCACATTGTTTACAAGCCATGGACACCATGACTTGCTATCAATTTCATGTCATTTTCATAGAAGGCTTAATTGGTTGCAGTATGCTGAAAGGCTTCCAATTGGGCTAGAGAAAGTAATCCGGACAGTTTCTCCTGAAACGGTGAAGCACTTTTACGAGAAATGGTACCATTTAAGCAATATGGCGGTGATAGCTGTTGGAGATTTCTCTGATACACAGGTTATATTGCACTTTACCTTTTTGTGTTCATAATGGACACCTGGAAGCATTGTCAGGTCAAGATTTCTGAATGCTCTCCTTTCTCTATCTCAGGGGGTGGTTGAGTTAATAAAGACTCATTTTGGTCAGAAAATTCCAGCGCCTGATCCTCCACGTATACCAGCATTTCTGGTTCCATCACATGAGGAGCCACGATTTTCATGTTTTGTTGAATCTGAAGCTGCTGGGGTAAGTAAGTAACAAAGAATAATATGTTTTTGCAAGTTTACAGGGCTACTTTAGTGACTTACTCTGCATGGAAGATGATATATTACTCTGGATTTGAACAATGACAGTCTGCAGTTATGATTAGCTATAAGATACCGGCAGAGGAGCTGAAGACAGTAAAAGACTACAGAAATTTACTTGCTGAATCCATGTTCCTGTATGCTTTAAATCAGAGATTCTTTAAAATATCTCGTAGAAAAGATCCACCCTATTTCTCATGCTCAGCTGCTGCTGATGTTTTAGTTCGTCCACTAAAGGCTTATATAATGACTTCATCGTGTAAAGAAAAAGGAACCATTGACGCCCTAGAGTCAATGCTAACAGAGG